TTTAAATTTGGTATATTAATCACAAACCAACTTACTTCAGTGGTTAAAAGATTTATCTTTTCTCCTAAAGGTCATAGGTTTAAACATCGACGACTACAAGGGTAATTAACGTTCAGTTGTCAAATGATTGAAAAATATTTAGAACATATACTATTTTATAATCGTCTTAGCTTAATAAAAAAATTGTATATCAATATAGGTTTATCCTAGAGGCTCTCCCCTTCTCCCTTCATTTTTTTTCTTTTGAGTTTTTGTTGTTTTCTTTGATCATATCAACTTTTTCTTATTTGATTATGTTTAGCTGACGACGAAATTAATTTAGATACTAGTTACTGACCGTCGATTATCTTTTCTCTTTTTTTTTTAGTTTTTTAATAAGAATAATTCTACATTTTTGACACGTTTTTCTCTACTTTTGTAAGACGTTTTTCGTTTTATTTTTCAGTTGTTTGGCTGTTATTTTATTTATGTTTTCTCATTGTTGGATTTGACGATGCCACAACTGATCAAGATGGCATTTATTTATAGTCTTGTTGATCTTCCCTGTAATTACCCTCAAATTAAATTTGGATGCGCGATTTTGCGTTCATAAATAGTTTATCACAACGCTTAGCTCTGATTTGCGGTTTATAGTGATCTTTCAATAGTTTAATTCCCTTTTATGATTCATTTGTTGATGCAGCCAGATTTGCTCGTATCTATTTTTTTATTCGAGCCTTTTGATTTGGTTTTTAACCTTTTTTCCTGTATGATCCTTATATGATCTAAAATGACTAGTTTCAATGTTATATGAAAATGTCCAAATTATGTATTTAGTTTACAATAATAGTTGGAAACTCTTATTGTAATTTTGGATATTTTCACTTTTAAATAATATTAATCGTTTCTATTAAAAAATATTTTAAAATTTGGACTTAACTTAAGACATTTTCAACCGATAATAAACCATATTAACATATTTTTAATATAGTTTTGACTCTCCAATTTTGAAATTACAAATAATATATTTTGAAATTATTAATATGTGTTAGAATCCAATTACATAGTGTAAAACTAAAAAGTTTTACACTTTTTTAGGATCGTTGGATGAGAGAAAATCAAATGTTAAGATTAATAATAGGAAATGAGAAGATATTCGTAAAAAAAAACAAAAAGTAAATAAAAAAATCTCAACCATTAATTTACTACATTTTAAAATCGTTGGATGATGGAAAATCAAAGGCTGAAATTTTCTCATTATTCGTTTTTCAGTGAATATATTCTGTTTTCCTACTGTTAATATTAAGTTTTACACCATTGGATCCTATACCTAAAAGGGTTAAGATCCATTTACCCTTAGTGTAAAACTAAAGTTTTACACAATTTTAAGATCGTTGGACGAGGAGAAATCAAATGTTGAGATTTTCTCCTTGTTTTTTTTCCAGTAAATATCTTATCATTTACTATTGTTAATCTTATTATTTGATTTTTCATTATCCAATAATCTTAAAAAGGTATAAAACTTTTTAATTTTACTCTATGTATTTAGATCTTAACCTTTAATAAAAAAAAATAGTAATAAATGAAACTAGAAACTGTGATAACAAGTTATGAATAATAATATCAATATTTTTTTATAAAATTGAAATATGCAACATAATAGTTAATATCATATCTGTGTTAAACCAATATCAAGTAATTTAAGTATGGTTTAAGGGTCAACTTTTCTCTTGTAGTATACTCAATTTATCATTTTCGCTCCTATCGTATTTTCGCTCCTATCGTATTTTTGCATCAATTTAGCACTCAAAGTTATTTAATTGCATCATTATATATCTTACCCTAACTTAAAACTCTAAATTATAAAACTTAAGGTAGGGTTCAGGGCTAGAGTCTATGGTTTAGAGGCCATGGAATTATGATTTAGGGTTTAAGATTTTATGGTTTTAGGGTTTAAGTTAGGAGTAGGGTATAAAATGATGCAATTGAGTAACTTCGATGACTAAATTGATGCGAACATACGATAGGGCGAAAATGATAAATTAGGTCTATTATATGGGCAAAAATTACCATTTTACCTTTAAGTATTATTATTGTCTAAAATGTGAGATATTTCAATCAGTTTAATGTGTATCGATTTATTTCGATCAATATTGACTTGTACATGTCCATATCGATTGATACAAGAGTAATTTTTTTAAATCAATTTTTTTATTATTTTTATCTTAAATGTTTTTTATCTTTATATAATTACATTTATATTTTTATTTATATATGAAAAATATTTGAAAAATAACTACTAATCCGAAACAATACACCAAAATATACTAATAGACTATATAAGTGAAAAACGTTACATATTTGAACACATGCCAAATAAATTTTTCATGTAAAGATTAATTAAAAATGTCACATGAAATTAATACATGATTGCTTGGAAGTTTCCTATATAGCACACAATCATTTGTATTTAAATTCCCAAAATATGTGATTAAGGCTTGAAATTTATTTCTCTCATACCAAATATGACATATTTCATTAGTTTAATTAGCTAATTTGTTAACCTAAAACAATTTAAATTAAAGTGGAAATTTCATAATGGAATTAGATTTACAATTATAGATAAAATTCTAAATTTTCAAAATTAAGAAAAAAATAGATTTTTTGAACAGAAATTTGCCCTCAATTAGGCCACATGTTGAGTCGGTGAGTGACTCAAAAGTTTTTTAAAAAAAAATTAATCACTGGTATCCGATCAATTAATCGATTAATTTATGAGTTTAAATATTATCAATTTTATATTTTAATTATTTGTATATAGTTACTAATTTATAATTTATGTTGGAAGGCTTCAAGTCAGTTTAGTTCAATACATATAGTTGTTAGTTTCCTGTCCTTGGAGGCAAAACACACAACAATCATTAGTCATTGTTTTGTTGAATAATTGGCTATTAAAAGATACGAAAATATTCATTGATTATAAAATATTATTTTGTGGAGTTTTCGACTATTAAAAATTACTAAATGGTTAGTTAATTATTTATGTATTCTAGATTCGTCATTTTTTGTTAAAAATTAACGTCGATATGAACTGAACATTAACCTGATGATTGTGATATAATAAAATATGATCAATCTCAAACGATTATAACATCTCAATAAACAAGTTAATGTCTAGCTCAAACTGTCATCAATTTTTTAACGAGAAATGATGAGTCTGAAACATGTGAATAATTGAATGATCATTTTATAACTTTTAATAGTCTAAGAACTCAACAAAGCAACACTTTAAAATTAAATAATCATTTTGTAACTCCTAATAATCGAATTACTCAATAATAAAACATCCTTTGTACTTTACCCTATATTTTGTATATATTATTATTATTCAATTTACACAACATATTTTATTACGTCTCCTCCAAGTGTGTATGATCATTTCTATTAACGATATCTGTGGTTTTATTTATAAGATTCTTATTTGATATATTAATAACATTTTTTTTGGGGGTAAATTATGTATTTAGTATCTAAACTATTAATTTTGGTATGTTTTAGTACTTAAACTTTTAATTTTTTTAAATACATATATAAAGTTTAGTTTTTGTTTCATTTTAGTACCGCCGTTAAAAAAATTAGTTTTTGTTTCATTTTAGTTATTCGTTCAAAATTTAACGTTAAGTTTTGAAAAGACTGAAATTTAAGGTACTAAAACGGGTCAAAACTAATAGTTTAGGTACTAAATGCGTCAAATTTTTAACGGTGGATAATAAAATGAAATGAAAACTAAACGTTAGATATGATTTTAAAACAACTGAAAGTTTAGGTACTAAAACGGATTAAAAATGATAGTTTAGATACCAAATATGTAATTTACCCTTTTTTAATTTTATAATAAAAAATAAACATTCTATAATTTATTTCTTTTATTTATTTGTCAACGTGTTAATATCAGTTAAAAAAATTATAACTTTTTACTCTATCCATAAAACTTAAAAATCCATCCATATTAATGTATCTAACAGTTATTATTTTCTAAAGTAACTTATGGTTTAGTAAGCTTGTAATTTAATAACTCAACTTTCAAATGTTACGTTATGATCATTAATATTATCGATCTATCACGAAATGATCATTCGAATGTTAAATTTTATTATATTAACAACATGACATAATAAAAAAATTAAGATTAAATTTTGAGTTAATTTCTACATTTTGATTAAACATCGATTTAATATTTTAACAAATTTAAGCTCTCTAGAGATAGAAAACAAATTAGAGTATTTTGATCCTAAATGTTTTATTTTAGTTTTGGAAAGCTTTATTTTAAAATTTTAATTATTTGTTGGTTTTCATTTACAGAAAATTTTTAAAATGCTAAAAAATAAAAATCAAATTGACTATTTAATTAAAATTTATAAGTATTTTTTGTATTATACCCAAAATCAACTATAATTGACATAGCTTTAAACTTATTTTTTAAAATCATATTATAAAATAAATTTAAATTTTTTTAATATAGAATTTTGAGATCTATATATTTTTAAATAAGTTTCTAACCATAATATTTATCTAAATTTTCGTACATTTAGGGGATATTTGTTTACTTCAAAATGATTAAGCACTGAATGATTCAAATATTGAATAATTCAGAGGCTCTGTATGAATTAGCTCTGAATGTGACATATTGTTTGATAATGACTTTAAATCATTCAGAATGTATTTCTGTGCTGAATCATTTAGCACTGTTTTGCTAAATTAGTCAGCACTGAATCATTCAGAAATACGAAACAAATGCGCTGAATGTTAAACCGTTCAGCATTCAACACTGAATGATTCTATTAAGAAACAAACAAACAGTCCCATACTTTTATTTACCGATAAAAAAAGCTATTCTCAACTTAATTACAAATCTGCCATTTTCTATTTGGAAAATTTAAAACTAGTTTCTTAATAAAAAAAAAGTATTATATAAGTGGGTTCTATATATTTTTTCCCCTTTATGGATCTCTCAGTCTCAGAACTGTAAACCAAAGCTTAAACTCTCAACTAACGATACTCCCAAAAAGGTCTTTTATTTGAACCCTAAAACGGAATTTACTTCAATTTAAATGCTTTTTCTTATATTTTCATGCTAATAATTGATATTTTGATTTGTTTGTTATAGCCGTTTTTGTTTGTTGCAGCAGTTGATTCAGTTGTGATCGAGATCGGAGGAGTTAAAATTTAAAAACAATGCGGATGAAGGAAATGCAGCCGCTATGTTGTATATCATTGGAGAGTCCAGGCATCGGCGACCAGTCACCGGAGATTTCGTTGACTCGATCTCGGAGCATGCCGGTTGAGTCTTTATCCGGATCTGAAACGGGGAATGCGACGAGGTTGACGACGGGAGGGTCCGAAGGTACCGTCGCTGGAATTCTCTACAAGTGGACTAATTATGGGAAAGGATGGAGATCCAGGTGGTTTTTGCTTCGTAATGGAATGCTGTCTTACTCGAAAATTTGCCGGTCGGAGAGTCTGAACATCCCCTCCCCCGATGAAGTCAGATGGATCGGTGATATCTCGACCAATCGGCTTTTGAGGACCGACAGTTGTAGCGGTAGACGGAGGAACCAGAAAACCGTTGGCATTGTTCATTTGAAGGTATACATATCAGAAAATCAAAATCAAATTTCAAAAGTTCCATCCAAACTAAAAAGAAACGAAAATCGAACAGCCAGATGATCTGAGCGATCAATTTTGCGGCACTATAATTTTTTCTAGAAATAAGTCCTATTGTATTATGATTCAAAAAATGAACGGAGAGTTGCTAAGTATGCTTTACACTAATTTTATTAACCATGAATCTTTTCATCTGATAAACAAAACAAAGTCATCAGTGGAAAAATAGGCATTGATATCTGAGCTAAAGCTATGAAAAAGCGGAAAATTGAAGTGCAAGAACCGTAAGTTTCTTGCATTATTCAGCACGTAATTTGCTGTTTGATCTGTAAAAAGGACCTTAAATCTGTAAACTTCCGTTTTCTCTCGCCTTATTTGAGTATCTGCTTTCTGATATTCAATTTTCATGTTTAACTTTGGGGGGAAATAGGAAAAAGTAGAAAAAATTATATTTTTAATATAATATTTACTCTTTTTAACTGGTTGTTTATGTAGAGTGAGTCACATCAGCAGGTGTGCTTGGAGGGCTGTGATAGCGTATGCTTTAGGTCTAGGAATTAAGCTCTGGTCAGTCACATCATCGTTTAAATTGGTATTCAATAGATGGATGAACGCTTTTAAAGCCAGCAACGTCGATACGAACTACTTGAAGTCCGACGTTTTTCCATCCTTTCTTTCTTTCTTTTGCTTCTGATCTCTTTGCACTTCTTTTCCTTTCGATTCTCACGTTTTATCATGTACATTCCCTTTGCTTTCCAGCTGATGTAGTTTTGGCCTTTTAGGTCTCAAAAATACTGATTTCCCCCAATGTAATGGTAAAGGAAATTAGAGATTTCAAATGATTCACATTAACTTAATCAAACTCACATTATCAGAAGCCATGTATAAGTAAAAAATGGGGATGTTAAGAAGTGCTTCTCTGAAATGTAGATGTGGGTTTTGTTTGTAGTCATCCTTTGTTTGAGTTTGGTATTATTTGTCTTGTAATAGAGAGGTAACTTCTTATTCTTAATTATTTTTTACATGGTATTCTCTAGTTTGTAAGCATTGAAATAAACAAAAGACAAAGTGGGGTGCTTGAGGCTAGTTGATGGGCTTTCGTCGTGAAGATCGTATGGAATTTTATGGTGAACACTGTTTAGAAACCCGTGAAAACTGAAAGGATATAATAGTATTTCTTTCCCTTATTGTTTTTAAGTATATATTCACTAAGCAAAAGTAGATCCAAATGATGATTCATCGGCTTCGTTTAATGACCCTCGGCAGTTGTAATGCTTAAAAGGTTGGAATTAGCATCGGATTTTGTGATCAATTTTTTAGTTTTGTTTTTGTTTCATGTGGGATTTTTATTTTATTTGTTGCTAAAACAATTTCTCCTGCTAGAGACCTAAAGAGTCTTGTTATTTTGTGCAATCATCTGGTGTTTGATGGTAAATGCGGTTTGGCTCTTGCTGAGGTTACAGCTTCACAGATATTTGTTTTTGTTCCGGAAGTTTTAGAAAAATTTGAGCAATAATGCTACCTCATTACCTCAACGAGTTGTTCAAGGCTTTAATTTTGTTCTTTTCAACGTGCATTGTCTTGAATTGATAGCATTTATTCCATTTTTATTTCTGGAAAATGACTTTTATAATATGTATCATTCATGAATTTCTTCTGTGATTTTATTTGATGTGATCATTAAATGAGGCATAAAATGTTTTGATGATCTATGTGATTATATGACAGTAATGGAACTCTTGCATTACTCATGGTGTTGTTATTTGAATTTTTGTAGCAGATTTCATCATTCCGGGAGAGCAAATCTGATGATAGACGGTTTTACATTTTTACTGCTACAAAGACCCTTCATTTGAGAACTGATTCAAAGAAAGATCGGGTTGCTTGGATACAAGCTTTGATATCAACCAGGAGCATCCTTCCGCTGAGACCATTAAACGATAATCTCAACCTTGTACCCCATGATTTGTCTATATCAACTGATAGGCTCAAGAAACGGTTGCATGAGGAGGGAATCAGTGATAACCTTGTGAAGGATTGTGAGAAGATTATGCTCTCAGAGTTCTCAGAGATACAAGGGCAACTTAAAGTTCTTTATGAAGAAAGATCTAATTTGCTCGACACATTAAGGCAATTGGAGGTAATGTGAGCTTAGTAATTAGTACGTGTCTTTGAATGAAAATGCTTGATCTTTAGTTATTCACACCTTTTAATAATTTGGAATCTGAATAGTTTCATGAGCTAAATTAAATTTCTTCCTTTCTAAATTAGAGTGAAGATCAATTTAGTTGACTTGGATGAGTATCAAGTTCAACTTAATAAGTTAAATTATGAAAGTGTATTTTTTTTAATCCCATGGTGTTTTGTACTAAGAGGGTGTCAAGCCTCTAGCAGGCTCATGTTGGTAATTAGCTCAACTGGTGGAGCCTAGAATTTGAAGTGAATAATATTTACTTCATGGGATGAACAGATACAGTTCACAGATGAGAGTATAGAGGCCTACTAAAGTTAGTATCAATAATCTTCATATGTAATATGATGAAAACTATCTTTGACTGTTCTGATGGCTGGTTGAAATGAATGTGTGATGTGATGAAAACTATCCTTGAATGTTAGATGGCTAGTGGGAATGAATAACAAAGCTTTTGCTCAATAGTAAAACAAATGTATTCTGTTACTTGATGCATTAGAGTCATTCTATAGGTGATACAAGTGATGACTGCTAATGAAGGGTAATTAGTGTAGTGATCAATTAAAACTGGTTCTGTGTTCGCAATTGTTTCTCATTGTAGAATGTTTTATTGAAACTTTGGCACTTGGCAGTATAATGTAATATACTTTTTATGTTATAAACATTATTGAGTTCTCCATTTTTTTTTCCACTTTTTTCTCATGTGATATCCTTTGTACATGTATTATTGGTTTATTGCATTTTGTAATATCATAATAACACATTTCCATTGTACTTTTAACCTTCCTTTTGGTAAAATGATTGTGGAAGCTTACCTTAAATCCTTATTGATTGTGGTAAAATAGACACTCGAGTTGATCAATAAAATAATTATAATAATAATAATCATATTGGTGGGATTGGAATTGCTCGTCCAGCTCAGTTGGTAGAGCACAAGGTTCTTAACTTTGTGGTCGTGGGATCGAGTCCCACGGTGGGCAATTCATAATTCTGACTGCTGGAGGTCTTCCACGAAAGCTGCTCTCAATCTGGCATTGGGGGCAACCTACTACCCTACCTCCCCTTACACCATTACATATGGGAATAGGGTCAACTAAATATTGGTGGGATTGCTGAACAATGTGTTCTAATTATCTTATCTTTTAAAATGCCGTCTTATTGTTGGTTTTAGTAACTTCATCTTCTAAATGGTTTATTCTTTTTATGAAATTGCCCGATACGACATCATAATTGACTTATCCTATGCAATATTTTGCTAAGCTATATTGTTTATGGTGCATTAATTTTTTAGTCTTTTTTGCATGTTCAGGCAGCTAATATTGAATCTGAAACCTCTGGATTTCAAGGAGAATATCAGTTGACGAAGCATGGATATTCCAATTTGGGGCATGGAAATAGTGGTACATTACCGTCTGTAACTCTGTATCCATCTTAGTTTATGCGTGAATGTCTGACACCTATTTTAATTGTTAAAATTAAATTGTGTTAGCAAAGGAAGGTAGTCTTTGTTGTTTTCTATTGACCTGTGGTGGCACTTTACAGATAAACTGATTTCATAGTGTTTTAGATATGCATTCTTGAGTAGAAATATGTTCTGAACATCTAAAGTTTCAATGGAAATTTCCTGTCCTCTTATTTGCCATCATCATTCTCGCGTTAGTTGACTTTAATGCATGTTTGTTCAGAAATGTTGTGATAACATTAACCAATGTTTCTGGTTACTAATTCTTGTCCTGCTCTCTTATGGCCTGACGTTTGTTTGGTTTCTCAGAATGCAGCACTACAGAATCATCTGATGATGTAGAGAAGCAAGAGCTCGAGGAAGTTTTTCATGAAGATGGAACCTTGTTCTTTGATACCAAAGAGTATTTTACTGAAGCTGCAATCGATCATGCAGATAATCTGAAAGAAACTGAAAATCAATTTGGTAATGTGGAAAAGATGCATGCTGATAAAGGAGATTGTGATTCCAGATATCCTCAAATTGAGAGACGGAAAAAGCTTCCTGATCCAGTCGAAAAAGAGAAAGGGGTTAGCCTTTGGTCTATGATCAAAGACAATGTGGGAAAGGATCTCACACGAGTATGTCTCCCTGTTTACTTTAATGAACCAATATCATCCCTTCAGAAATGTTTTGAGGACCTAGAATATTCTTATCTTTTGGACCGAGCATACGAGTATGGAAAAGAAGTACGTTATTCATACATTTCATCTTTAATATTTTGTGCTTCTCTTGATAAATGCACTATTTATCTCCAGGGGTATAGCAAATTTAAATCAAGATTCCAGACAATTTACAGCATGGGAGTACATCTAAAATTTGAGAAATTGGTGCACTCTTAACTGATAAGTAATAATATCTAGAGTGAAATTTGAGAAATCTCCTGTCCCGAAAGTTTTTGGTCTTTTTGCAATGCTTTTGAAAGTTCTGTAAACATAGCAGCAGATGATCTTGCTTTATTTCAGTTCAATAATGCCTGGGTTTTCTGTACATTCTCAGGGTAACAGTCTCCAGAGGATTCTTAATGTTGCTGCATTTGCTGTTTCCGGGTATGCTTCCTCTGAAGGCCGACATTGTAAGCCCTTCAATCCATTGCTAGGGGAAACTTATGAAGCAGACTATCCTGACAAAGGACTTCGTTTCTTCTCTGAGAAGGTCAGCAGTCAGGATCATCAATGACTAAACTTCATGTTAAGAAATGTGCAGCTTTATATTGAAATTGAAACTGACAAGCTATGAAATTTTCTATTAATTTTTGTTACATCAAGTGCTTTTGACTTTTCAGCAGTTGGAACAAGATCAACTAGATGATACACTTTTGCATACCCTTTGGTAACACACACGCATATATTTAGAAATAAATAAATAGGGGGGGGGGGACTGTCATCACCTTCTTCATATGGATAATCAAGATGTTGGAAATTATTGCCTTGGTAGTGTCCTCAACAATAATTTGAACTATTTATGAAAAAAAAAAGTCTCACATTCTTAAGACAGTGAAGAGAAACATTACAAGTGTTCTTGATGAACTCGGGAGGAAAACTTGAATTATACTAGTTTGTAGGCATTATGAGTATTTTCCTTCCTATGTTGTTGCTTCTATTTATCTGGATGTGAAAGTGCAAATATTGTAATGCAGTTCCATAGCACATATGACTTACCTTTCAGGTTGAAACAGGTTAGTCATCACCCAACCCTTATTGCCTGTCGTTGTGAAGGGCGAGGGTGGAAATTCTGGGGCGACAGTAACCTGTGCACAAAGTTTTGGGGGCGTTCAATTCAGCTCGACCCTGTTGGAGTTCTGACCATAGAGTTTGATGATGGTGAAATATTTCAGTGGAGCAAGGTGTGCACTATACGGGGCTGTGTTTACTGGATTTGCTATTTAGGCGTTTTGGTATACTAGCTTCCCCTTTCTATTTGTGTGGTATGATTTATTTGGACCTCATTCTCTGCAGGTAACAACTAGTATTTATAACCTTATCCTTGGTAAAGTATATTGCGATCACCATGGCTTGATGTGCATTCATGGGAATCGCCAGTATTCATGCCAACTCAAATTCAAAGAGCAATCTATTCTTGACCGGAACCCTCACCAGGTTAGTAGTCAATATAATTGTTTTATCCCCCTGGATTGCTTCATATCCATTGTAGTCTATCTTCTGTGTCTTCAGAGTTATTTTATGTAGTAATTTCTTATCCTGCGACCTTCATTTAAATAGGTTCATGGATTTATTGAAGACCTTTCGAGTAGAAAAGTTGCAACATTATTTGGCAAATGGGATGACAGCATGTATTACATCAACGGTGATGGCAATGGCAATGGCAATGGCAGTGGCAATGGCAAACCAAAGGACTGCAGTCCTCCATCGAGTGCCACCTTGCTATGGAAGAGGAACAAACCACCTCCTAATCTGACTCGCTACAATTTAACATCATTTGCAATTACACTAAATGAACTAACGCCTGGACTGCAGGTAGAGATGATGTATTACATCAGTTTCTCATAAGCAATTTCATTTTCCTCTTATGCATATTTAATTGTTTTCTATAGCTTTGTCTGACTTGGGGTATTTGATCACGAATTAAGGAGAAGCTCCCACCTACGGACTCAAGGCTTCGACCAGATCAACGCCATTTGGAGAATGGGGGAATATGATAGAGCAAACGCAGAGAAACAACGATTAGAGAGGAGGCAGAGAATAGTATGTTTCTATGCACATGCATTTATTTGTTGACAGGAACTTATTGTAAATGGGTCATTGCCTCCAGAAAAGCCTCCTTGCATGTTGTCTTTTGCGTCTTGCTTATATTATTGCTTATATTGCTTGATATTCATGCCGTCTCTGGTCCTGCACAGTCGAGAAAACTACAAGAAAATGGGTGGAAGCCTAGGTGGTTCCAGAAAGACGATGAAAATGGATCCTTCCGTTACGTGGGCGGGTTACTGGGAAGCAAGAGAACAGGGAAAATGGGATGACTGTCCGAATATATTCGGTGAATTCGAAGAGCTTGTTGATTCCTCTGAATAATAATGCCAACTTCACTTCAAGGTTAGTAAACTCATTTTCCATATTCTAGTGTGTTACAATGGCTTGTTTTTGTCATTTATATCGGGCCATGCATAAATTTTCTGATCGTCTAGAATTGGCATACATTGCGGACAATGAATGACGGAGCAAATCGAATCGATAAACACGTAAGTTGCTTCTGCAAAGATTGCAGACAGTAGATTCATATTGGTCGTCCCAAGAGACAGCCAAATTAAGAATATGAACCTTCAAGTGAGTAGATATAGTAGGTATAGGTGAGAGTCTGAAGAGTGGGAGTCCTTTGTGTAATGTAATGTCTCGATAGTTCATTTATTCTATAGTCCTTCACTCCAAAATTTAATTTCATAATTATTTGTATTTCCATTCTATGAATAAATCAAATGAAACAATCGAACAAAAAATATATATAAAAAAATTTGAGCTAATTTATTGCATACATATATATATGCTAAGTTGCTAACATCTTTCTGCAACTGGAGCAATCGAATTCAAGTGATAGAACTTATTCACAGAGTGGAAATCATAAAATTTATATACAATATTCGGCTGTACACCGTATTGCCACCAGTTCTCTTGATAATACTAGTGATGACGAAATTACCGTCCCAAAGGAAATGGAAATGGTGATGCTAGAGGTAATACACGGGTCTGGCGAAATGAGGAAAAGATAAAAGCGACGTCGGGAACGAATTTACCAAAGGCTACTGAGAAATCCGATCCCCAAATGTGTTCTCCCCACTGTAAGTAACATAAAGAAATCCATCTTCATCCTTCTTCTCTTCGTATATGGCAGACATAATGGCACCTGCAAAACCACAAAAAGGGGTTTAGCCCCGTTGAATCAGATAGCAAAGGTAAAGAATCGAGCAGCGATGGATGTAAGTGCAAGGGATTACCAGTTGGAGGGAGAACATTGTCCACAAATATGAATATTGCTTTTTCTGCACTCAGTTTGATCCTTTTACGGATAACATATACGAATTGTACGGACAGTCAAATCAGCTGGGACAAGATACCTGTAAATTTGAGAATCATATCACACGAAGATAATCTCTACTGAAGAGCACCCCAGGAAATAAATAAGCAATTCGAACGATTTCATATGTCCAAGACAGTCAAAAATGGTGGAATAGCATCCACATCAACATGAGAATCAACAATCATCATCATACACTTTACTCTTTATGATACTTCTTTATAGCAGCTATGGATGTTGATCATCGAAACCATAGTGTCGGAGGTGCAATATGATAGAGATAGATAAATCAAAGAAACTAACACCAGACGACGTTTTCAACAGGGTGAGACAATGAATCAAGAGAATCTAAAGCCACAAATAAGATATTGGTGATGCTTACTTCTTCTTGTCGATGTTCGGGATATCACTCCTCTCCGCTTTCTCCACGATCACCTTAAAAATAAAAGAGGGATAATAAACAAGTCAAGCTTGGAACACTGCTAATCACCAACAAATATACAGGCTGATCAAAACTGGTAGACCATGTTAGATGAACAATAACGGCAGATATCGAGATCGGAAATAAAAGCTGAAGCGTTACCGGGATCCTATCCGGGTATTTCTCCCTAATCCTAGCAGCCTCTGCCCTCCTCTTCTCTGAAGCCAGAACCAAACATGGGAAAAATAATTAGCTCCCACAAAATATAAATAATTGATTTCGCCATAAATATCATAATTCAGACTGGTTCACCATAAATAACAGAGAAATTAAAGATACATACGTTCATAACAAATAAAAGGTTTCAATACATACCCAGATCATGCTCTTGCTTGTAGTAACTCTTTGCCATTCCTCCTGAAATTAAAAGCCAAAATGAAAAGGAAAGTTTGTAAAGTTTAAGACCCAAATTTTATCCATGATCACAGTGTTTTTTTCCCCTTTTGCACAGTTGAGGAAAACATAATCATATAACAAAAAATGAAAAGTCCCAAATTTCAACTGAAACCATCCTTTCTGATTACCCAGAAAAAAAACCAACAGAAAATAAAGTAAAAGGTCTATCAAACATACATGAAACAGACTGAAAATGCAAGGGAAACCCAGAAAGGCAAACCTTGTGAAGATGAACCCAAAGCAAAAAAGGATAAAGCTTTTTTCTCTTGATCAAAAGAAATCTTCCAGGGCTTGAAGCTCGTGGCTTGGTTGACAAGATATAGGCAAAGCCTTTGTCTTTGAGCACTTTTTCTACTCCTTCAGCCGAACTTGGGTTTGTTTGTTTTTTAATTAATGATTGATGAATGGTTTTATAAATAGCTCTTGGAAGGGCGCATATGCAGTTGCGAATGGTATGATATACACGTGGGCTGATATTATTGGTTTAGATGTTGGTTAATGCTTGTTGATTAAGGTAAGTCGGGCAGATCATTTTCAGTTGTCGTTGATCTTTTGGATAAGGTTGAAAGTATGTTAATCGGACGGCTACCGATGTGGCGATCATCGTGGGACATTGTCAAACACAGAATGTGGTCTGACAGATTATAAGAAACTTCTCCACTCTTCGTACCCTTTAAAAAAAAAAGGATAAATTAGTCGGATACCATTGAACTTTACTAATAAATTTTAATGACATGATAACGTGGAAACATCTTTTTATCATTGTGATAACATAGATAAAATGACAACGTTTTAATAATAATTATTGAAGTTAAAAATGGCGTTATTTTAAATATTGAACTATAAGATGTATCGATTTTACCATTAAACTTTTAAACATTACATTTTTGTCATTGAATTTTTTCAACCGTCGTCAGTAGCCAATCATTGTCCATCAGTAACCACTCATCTTTCTTCTCCTATGATTGGTCTTCCATAAAGTCCACTCAAAATCAAAGAAAGTCTATTTAAAATTCTGATGTGCTAATACTCTAATATCTTTTGCTAACAGACTGATGAGACTAATTTTGATGCATGTTGGTAATCTTCTCAAAATAATGCTTCTTACACTTAGAATTTTAGAGTAAAAATCACAAATCCTATAAATTTAAGAAAACCCCAAAACTCCTAAAATAATAATTTTTTTTGTTTAAGTTTGTTAATTTTTAGTGAGTTTCGTGAAAAATCAATTATAAGAGAATAACGAGGAGTGAAAAGCAAATGTCTTGATTGTAACCCCCTAGACCAGACCTAAGAGTTACAATCGAATTTAGACAATCAAATATCGTATTCAAAAGTTCTTTTCATATTTAAAAGGTAACCCAAATCCATTTCAATAAATAAAGACCATGTAATTGTAAAATACTGAAAATAACCATCATAAGAATCCATGCGGTAAATATACAGTAATAATGACGGCGTGATACAAAATATCAGTAATACATATACGTAGGTAGTAATAAAACATGTGTCCCCAAAATATAACAGAAGAGGCGAGTAAAAATATATAGAGATACAAAACGGAGAGTAGTCGATCCTCCTGATGCCAAAACTGCTAGCCTATTGTCGAGTAGTATCTGAAAAGTTAAAAGATTGAAGAATGAGCTAAAAGACCAATTTGCTCCTTACAATGTATGAAAGCATACAAATAAAATACTTCGGTAAAAGTTACGTATAAAATAGGTTTTGAAAACATGAACACTACCTCCATCCGAACATCAGAACGTGTAGGTTCCCCTGAACTCTACACCCACATGTACACCCGGTAAGAACCTTATACTGCTAGTATAAGGGCCTGCGGTAAGAACTTACCCTGTACACAAAGCGAGAGGATTATGCGGTAAGTTCTTACAAGTCATAGACTAAGCTTGAGATACTTCTTCCAATCATACCCCCTAATGATAGTAAATGTGCATGTATTTGATTAAAAACAGTAATTTAAATTATGTAAATATTAAAACAGGTCATTTATCAAAATCAGATATAAAAATATGGTAACCAAAGATCATGCTAGAAGCATTCGGTAATTCAGATATCATGCATTCGGAATATAAAATCAGAATTTTAAATAGTTCACACAGATAGTCAAAACAGTACTGTAACACCAATAAGAACACACTTGAACCGATCTGAGTAGTCTGGGACAATCACCTACTCTCGGGTCTTCCTATCACAGTAAGCAGCACCTATGAATCAAAATAACTGAAATCATAATCCTAATAAAATAAGTAATAAACTTTAATCGAATAATTTACAGAAACATACGAGTAGCTCTCAAAGAACTCGGATCGGAAGGATCTGCAGGGCGGGTAGTGCCAGACCTAGACGGCTCTTGGTTAACTGTATCTCATGTACATTCATAAAAATATAGTCTCAGATTAATTCCATAATCAAATCCTGAATAAAAGTGTAGAAATGCTAAAAATACTAAGCATTTTTGGATTAATAGGCTTGACTCGGGGCTTTCAGGTCAAAATTTGGCAAAACATACCACAAAATCGAACTCAAGACATCGAAAAACATCAAGAGAGAGGTTTTTGAAAAAAATCAACGATCATAATCAATGTCTGTCAACAGTCAAAGGTCAACGACGACGGTCAACGGTGGCGAGTCAACGGTCAAAGTTGACAACTCAGCGCGGCACGACGCGACTTAGCTTAACTCGATCCGATTTTGTTCGGTTGAATCGGTTCGGATCGATTTAGAAATGGATCAGTCTGGTTGGGCTGATTCAGTTGGGTTTAGATTTGGGTCGGATGAGTGTATGGGTCGGATACGGTTACAGATCGGATCTGGTCATTGGGTCGGGATAATTCGTTTTAAGGTGGTCCACCAGGCGGTGGACGATCCTCATGTGCAGCATCGACGCGTGGGGGCACGTGTGGCGGTGATGGGTGGCGAAACAACTTCTAAAAATTTGTAAAAAATTACTTTAAAGCGTTATAAGACACTTACCTAACTCGGTTCACTACAGTAAATGACAGAGCTCCCGTTTACGCTTCGTAGAAAATTTGTTTTGCGTCACCCCTCCACACATTGGCGACTCAGACGACAAGACGATCATCATTGGACTCGGGACAATACATGGATTTCATTGGTGTGAGTCGTGTAAAACACGGAGCAGCGGCCGGTGACGAATCGACAATTGAAGTTTCTTTGTTAAAACTTGCTAAAAAGGGAAAAAGAGAAAAAGAGAAATTGTTGGTTTTCGGAAATGGAAAGTTTCAGAAAAATGTTTTATACCCAAAAAAAAGTGTAATTACACCACAAGTCCTCAAAGTTTTACAACTTTCTAGTTTGGTCACAAAATTTATTAAAATTTTGTTTTGGTCCCTGAATTATAATCGAATTTCAATTTAATCCGTGAAATTAAAATTAAGAAAAAAAATTAAGCCCTAATTTGGGGTGTGGCATTGATACTGATCTTGTTGCAAAAGATGATTGATGACGGACAATGATTAACTCCCGACA